AGGAGGGAGTCACAGAACCGTGTTCAAAGAGCAAGCAATGAGAAGACTGGGCAGATAAAGATAATACTAGATGGTGAAAACTCACAAGGAATGTCGCATACAGCTGCTCGCGGGCCAGATCATGAAAGGGGCGGTAAGAAAAAAGCGACTTCCCGCCGCCCGGACTTGCCTGGGCCAAAGAGACAGTTCATATATGCGCGCCCCGGAAGGACGTACGCGCACAGGAACTCATTGGAACAGTGTGCGTACCTTGCTCTTCAGCTCCCCCTAATCCATGTACTCGCGGCGAATACTGCACCATAATCCATCGACGTGGAGTCTTGGTCAGCACTGTCAGCAAAGGCCCCGGGCGTGGCAACTGCTGGGGAGGCCGCCGACGTGAGCTTGGGTGTAGGCAACAGCGAGGTCGACCAGCTGTAGGAGGGTCGAGCGATAGGATGACGGTGGTCAGAGGTCAAGAAGGTGGCGGCGACGAACAGTAGCACGAACACGCTTATGTATGGCCGCCCGCCGGGAGAGCGCGTGACGTCATCTTCAACTCAACTCGAGTCGGAGTCCTTTCAAATTTCCCCAACTCCTAGTACGACCCCGGCCTGTCTCCGCAAACACCCTATTAGCTGCACATGTATGGTGTACTAAACTCCGACTACACACCTTGCTGGCAAACGACTATTGTACGTTCATTGATATTTGGCGTCGACGCTGCATGATCATTCTTCGTATGCGCCGAAGCTGTGCGATCATACGTCGTAGCCGCCGAAGCCGTGCTACCATACCCCACGGCCGCTGAAACTGTGCTACCATACTCTGCGTCCGCCGATCCTGTACTACCACTCCTCATAGCCGACTACGATGTACGTCCATGTGCTACCATCCTCGGTAGGCAACTGTAACGTGTTCTCTGACCAGCCGCGGTTTGCTGATGCATGCCTCCGCACCTACCATGCAGAAAAAGCGTGTTATCTAGCACTGTTCATTCTGAGTGTCACTGTCTCGACTATCTCTCCGCGAAGAGCTGTATATACCTCAGCAACTGAGTGCTCAATGCGACTAGGGGGCGCAACATGCATATCAAGAAGTACCGTCTCCGAATGATCTGGGAAACAAGCCGTTACAAGTATGCTTTGTTATGTGTTCTAGTAGACGCCGTAAGTACACGCGAGATCTCCGAATCCCTAGCTAGCGGGATTAAGTCATACCAAGCTGTCTACGTTGGTTCATATTAACTATGACCAGGGTTCACTCCGTGGCTCGCCCCGCTGAGATATGCCCCCCAATCGTCCCACCTACGCGCGACACAAAGTGGCAATCTCATCAGCACTGGCAAGCGTGACTCTGAGGCATGTGAACTCACCCGAAGGCCTCAGGCACGCTGTTCCACATCGACAAGGTGTCGTCCATGAACGCAAAGTCCGGCATCGGTAGATCTCCTTCCTGCACAGCGTTGTCCACCGCTGGATGTTGGTCTGAGCCAAAACCAACGCCGAAGCCGCTTGTGGACGGGAATAAGGTGCCGCTGTCACCGTATCCGAGATGTTCGAGCCCGAACATGGCGTGTCCGCTCATGTCGGAAGAGGCCGTAGCATCATTCGCCGACGAGAAAGCTTGCTGAACGGTGGTTCCCATCTGTGTGCCAGCACCTTGTGAGGCTAAGTGCTGAGGTGCACCCGCAGGATCACTGACAGACTCTGAGGGAGAAGCGACCCCATTCTCTGCGTTCCCAGGCGAGGTACTCGTGTCCTCGTGGTGCGCCGCGGTGCTGGCGTTGGGATGAGGAGTCGTTACGGCCAAAATGAGTTCCGCAAGGAGACCGCTATCCGTTCTGTTAGCTCCACAGCATCGAAATATCAGCCGCAGTAGGCTACACACCTCAACGGTCCCGAGACCTGCGACCTGCAAGGTAAAGTCACGTTCAGTGACCGTAGGTCCTAGGGATGACAGCATGACATACTCTAATTTAATGGCATCCAGCATCAGAACGGCTCTCCGCATGATCTCGATGTCTTTGTTGACTTTCGCCATGCGTCCAGCACGCTTCTGTCCCCAAACGTGCATGAACAGCATCGCGCCCGACATGAAGATGGGCCCCTAAGCAATGCGCCAGACGGCTACTAAGCACATGACACTCCAATCAAGTACGAAATGATGACATACCATGTTTTTATCGCCTGGGTTTCCGGTGCGCCTGTACAAAATGTCGAGGACCTGTAGGGTAGATCGCGCTGCGTTCGTGCATATGATCACCGACGGAAGCGACAACGGTGACTCGCGGCGGGCAGCTGACATGAAGGGCCGGTGCACGGCAATCTGTGTGAGATAGTAGTTGGCATAGAGGGTAGCTGATTGGGTCAGGAAGAGAGGATCTGGCTGGTTAGGGTTCCAACGCACTGAACGGAGACCGTTAGCACAGGCGCAAGGACAGCGGACATACGCAGAGACTGACAATGTGTGGGCAGCGAGTCGAGCCAGTTATTCAGAGAGGAGTCGAGCTCAGTGACAGTGCGCTGCTCCCACTGTGAATCTCCTTGGCTAAGTTGCGGCTTCAGCCCGTTTATCGAGTACTGCGTCGTGGATAGAGTAAGTGTGTGTTGGCGCAGATGTCTACACACTACATAGAAACTCACTACAGTCCTCATCGCAGAGGCTAATATCCGAGTGAGCCGGATAAGGACCACAAAGAGTGACACCCTCGACGGCTTTCCTTCGGGTTGACGAGGAGGTTCGTCGGTAACAGAGCTGGTCCAATACTCATCATCAATTTCCGTCGGAAGGGCAACGTCGATGCTGCGAAAAAGAAGCGTTAGAGGCCCGTACTTGTCGCGATACAATGCAGCAGATGCGCACTCCTCGTCGTGCATGAAGATGGGTCTTCCGAGCCCGTAGGCGTTAAGCCACTCCATGACGACCAACATCCTTGCGGTTCAACGTCAGCATTTGCCCGATGAGGAGAAGAAGGAGCTACTTACCAGAATGCGCGTCGCCATAATTCGTCCTCGATGGTGAACTTCGTGTTGTACATCTTCTTCCGATGGGCGCCGACGTCGACAGCCATGCGTAGGCCGCTTCCGATCACTGTCCAACCGGTCTGTGGCGCACGGGTACCTTGCAAAAAATTGCCCATGAGCTACCAACCAAGTATGGCACATAAGTAGCGGATCGCGCACGGAACCGTGGAGGGCACTCACGGCGCAGATCTGCAAGTCGTACAACTGAGCTGGAGCGAGGGAGAGCTTGCGCCGGGACTCCACGGCATGGAACCACTTCCATCCTGCGGACCTCCAGTCGTCCGTGCCATCGAGGAGGACCCGAGGATCGCTGGTGTATCGCGCTCCACATGCACAAACCAAGAGGACTACCGCGCCGAACCCGCCCTCTCTCAAGTGTAATCCGCGCTTGATGTCGTTTTTGAACATCGGCTCGTGGAGGAGCGGTATTAAATCGTTGACCTTGCGGAAGAAGAGCTCGACAAGAGTGTCTAAGAGGTCGTCGGGGGGAAAATCGTCGAAGACAGGCATGGTTTCTTGACTCGGGGTATTTAGCCACTTCGAGGAGGTCAGACAGAATAAGACGGAAATGAGATCCGAACGATGACTTACAGGGGATGTGTATGCCAACCTCTCCTGCGGTTCGACTTGGCCTGAATAGCCGAGCTGCTGATTCCGCAACTCAACCGCCGTCCGGATGAGGACCAGCCCGCTGGACTTGCCATGGTAGCGATATTGCTCGGGGCTTATAGACAGCTTGCGCAAACTTTCGATCAGGCCCTGGTCTTCTGCTTCATCGTTGTCGCTCAGATCACCATCGTCGGGACTTTGTGGCATCTGAGGGGTCACTGGGAGAGAGTTGAGTGGGCTTCGGCCCTCGTGGCGAGACGTGCTTGCACGAGAGCCTGTGGAGCCGAGGGTACGTGATGTCGATCCGCGGTTTGAGGCGTGTTCGTCGAGCTCGCCGGAGAAATCGGCGTCGGGGCATATCTGATAGTGCTGTCGGCACGATGCGCAGCGAAAACGTATACCACAACATACCTTGTCCATTAACTTCTCCATCCGCTGAAGACGGCTTTCTAGATTCTTGACGTAACTGGCAGAAGGATAGCTCGTGAGAGGATGAAGACTCGATTTCACTTGGATGGACAACAGGCGGCGGTAGAAGCGAATACATGAATGCACCGACGACATTCTCACCTATTGGGATAGTTGCCCTACTGACGCTGGGTCAATACAGAGACGACGTAGCTGTTATTGGACTAACCCGGTGGGGCTCCTTATAGGTGCACTCGATACGACGCGCTTTACAATTGGAGCAACAGTTGTCTAGCATCTCGGGGCCATCGCCTGTAAGGATGTTCAGCACCGAACCAGCATTTCTGCCAGCAATAAACCGCACATTTGCCTGCCAGTACATCAGCAACCGCGGGTGGCTGTCCTCAAGATCACACTTACTCTTCTTACGCCTACAGTAGTCACAAGCACGCTGAAGCTTGCGCTTTTTGGCGTAGGGAGGGCTGTCAATGTCTTCGTCCGCGGATGACATGGTTGGAGGGCAAGGTTCGAAAACGAGTCAGGATACGGAACGACTTGCTTTAGCTGCAGCGCCACGACCGAGAAGGCTGTGCGCAAGGCTTCTGTGCCGACAGCGATCGGGTCGACACGCAGTCTCTACGCAGCAACCACAGCGGAAGTCGATGTTGCCGGTGCGTGCAGTTCACTTGGCTGTGTAAGATACAGTGCAGAGACCCGACGGCAGCCTGCCGTGTGCTATGGAACGCGTGGCCTCGCGGCAGGCTGCGCACGAATTGAATGGCGCAGTTGGCCTTGTGTTGATCCTTGGCTAAGTGTTGTTCTTTTCTGTGCTTTGAGTGAAATGGACTAGATCATCAGCAATGCAATGTAACCATTGTAGATGATGTTGGTGAGAGGCAGCTACAAGTAGTAACTACAGCGAACAAAGTACCCCTCGCACCATCTCGATATAAGCTTTGCAAAGTTGCTCATAACAACTCTCTGTTAGTATATCGGTTAGTACACGCGCCTGTCACTTGACGAAGTGGATTCTTCACTTGGCCGCGCGAAAGCGGGGTTCGACTCCCCGACAGAGAGTAGATTCGTTTTGCTGTGCAGGTATACTGGAAGCGTCGGAGCGAGCTCGGAGGAGGCCTCAAGCAGCGGGAACTTGTCCGTCGACATCATCTTTCCTCTCCCGCTAACGTCCTCACCTGGTCCTGCGTCGGTCTCAAGACTAGATGGCAGCTGGGCTTGCTCTCTCGACACGTAGCGTCGTGCACGGTTGCCTGCGTTCCAACCCTGCTCGCGTACTCGTCTCCCGTCGCGCCGCATCTACGACTTCTCAGCAGACAAGTCGCTCGTCCGCAAAGACAGCTGCATACGCATCACTCTTCGTCGTCTCGACAGGTCTCTTTGCCGTCTACTACTTCGATTGCCGTGCTGCCATCCACAAATATGTCGTCACTCCGGTCATACGCCATACACTCGACCCCGAGGCAGGACACAAGCTCGCAGTACGCGTCCTGAGTGCAGGACTCGCGCCTCGGGATCCCGTCGCGGACGACGAAGTGCTCAAGACAGAGGTACGTGCGTGTCTTGTCCCGGGAAGCGGCGCACGATTCAAGTATGCGTAGTTGTGGGGAGAAACGCTGTCAAGCCCTGTCGGTCTGGCTGCTGGTTTCGACAAGCATGGCGAGGCAATTGACGGTGAGTTGTACCATGCCTACGTGTAACGATGACTTCTCATAACTGTCAGGTCTGTTTAACCTCGGCTTCAGCTGGGTGGAGATCGGGAGCGTAACGCCAAAACCCCAGGTGCGTTCTCATCCCAGTAGTCCCTCTGAATATCCTTGACGCCTCACCGCCCTCAGCCCGGGAACCCCAAGCCACGCGTCTTCCACCTACCAAATGACGATGCGCTCATCAACCGGTATGGCTTCCCCTCAGACGGGCACGCGGCCGTCCTGGGACGCCTGCGTGCTCGCCTCCCGACCCTCTTCCCGTACTCCGCTTCCCCTGAATCCGACTCGCCTCTCCACGGCGAAGAGCACGCGTCATTGCGCCCCAATGCGCTACTGGCAGTCAACCTCGGCAAGAACAAGTCGTCCCCACCAGACTCGATAGCAGACTTTGTCACCGGCGTGCAGACGTTTGGGCCCTACGCGGATGCACTAGTAGTCAATGTCTCCAGCCCGAATACTCCTGGTTTGAGGCGCGTCCCATGCTGTGGCAGGACGTATTCATGTAGTTGTGCTAACACGCGTCGACGTTAGGGGCATGCAGAGCCGGACACTGCTGCAAGAGCTCCTCGCGGGCGTCACCTCCGCGCGCGACCAAGTGAGCGCGTCGTCGACACACGCGCACCGACCAAAACTGCTGCTCAAGATCGCCCCCGACCTGACTGAGGCCGAAGTCGCAGACGTCGCCGCGGCCGTCCGCGCGACCAGCGGCATCGACGGCGTCATCGTCAGCAACACGACCATCCAGCGGCCTTCGAGCCTGTCAGATCGTACGTATTACGTCCACTTCCACTTCCACTCGTCAGCGGTGTCCCTAAGGCTAACTGTCTGCACAGCGAACAAGGTCGAGCAGGGCGGTCTGTCCGGCCCCCCGCTGAAACCGTTCTCACTCGCAACCCTGCGCACCCTCCGCTCTCTCCTCCCCGCCTCCATCCCCATCATCGGCTGCGGCGGGATCTCCTCCGGGGCGGACGCACTCGAGTTCGCGCGTGCGGGCGCAGCGGCCGTCCAGCTGTACACTGCGTTCGGGTACCAGGGCCCGGGGACCGCGCGGGAGATCAAGGACGAGCTTGCCGCGCTGCTCCGGAAAGAGGGCAAGACGTGGAAGGAGGTCGTCAGCGAGGCGGTAGAGAAGAACAGCCTGCGCGAGGGCCAGGCCCCGAAGACAACGGAGGGGGAGAGTTTGGGAGCGGCGAGCGTGGCGCTGCTCGTACAGGAGGCAGAGGAGCTGAAGCGCTTGCTGGATGGGCTGGGGGAGAGGATGGAGAAGAGTGTGGAGGGTACGACGTTGGCGCAGGATGGACATGTTGTGGCGGTCACTGCGCCCCCGTCGGCGTCGTAGCGTCCGTGCCTACAAAGTACAGGCTCGTACTGATGTCTGTGCTGTGTTGGTTGGACTTATTGAATACGTGCCTTTCATCAGGTCACCATGTGTGATGCGATCCTCAAGACAGGTCGGGGCATTTCATTCAGAGCCGTCCACTCGGGATCAGATAATACAACTTCCCGCGTGAAGCCGATTCCTCGTATGAGCTCAGAACAAATCGCCAAGCCTCCAAGCAGCCGTTACTACTCCTCTGCGTCTGACATCATCATGCCCAATGTGCATGTTATACTAGTAGTCTAAGTAGTACTCATCATCATTTACCTAGTGACATGTGGGCCACGGCGAGAGCTTATGTCAGCGGCAACATACGGGAGATGCCGAGCGTCGAATATCGGCCCGAGTCACCGTCAGAGAACATGGAATTGAACCACATCCTCGACGATGTCCCCGGATAGCCTCCTGTGCTTGGGTTTCCCGCAGCAGTTGACTTGGTGACTATGAATCTGGGTCCTACTATTGTGAAGACCGGCAACATAGTGCTTACTCCTTGTATAGAAAAGGCTGCTCCTATCCTGGACGAGGTGCTTGCGATGGTAAGCTGCTGCCCAAGGCTCAGCTTATCCGGCATATATTAATTCTGATTTTAAGGCCTTTGAATCGCTTTCAAACAATAGTTGGCTGCTAGGACCGCGTCACACAACACGTCAGCAAGCTTGGAGTTAACCCGGGGTTATCTCTGGCCCGCTGCTGCGATGCGGTTGACAGCTTGAGAACCGTCAGCTGATATCAAGTACTACTTTGCAGTGGCAGTGACCACGCAGGGTCCTCCTCCTTCGCCTCTACCGACCCGCCGGGATGGACGCTCTCGGGCTCTCCCAGCGCGAGTGGTTGAACACCTACTCAGGGCTCGAAAGTAGTTCCGCGCGAGCGCATGATCCCGTCGTGGTATGTCGTTAGCCTTCTTACTTGTGCACTGCCTGGTCTATTTGTGTTGACTATCTCACGCGATAGGAGGCTTCTACCATCTCGCTCGACAGATGGACTGGCCTTTCATCCTTCGCGTTTGGCCCCGAGTTCATGATCGCCGATGCCCTTCCGGACGTTGTGCTGGTCACCACGGACCAAGTCCGCTTACATGCACATCTCCGACGCCTTCTCCACGCCTCTGCCAACTCCTTTGCTGGTCTGCTCGCGGATGTGCCTCAGGGCCGAACCATCGTGGTTCCAGAGCGCTCCCAGGTGTTGTTGATCGCCCTTCGGGTCCTTTATGGTCTTCCCTGTCTCCATATCCACCCCGCCCTGGATGACGTCGAACTCGCGATGGGAGCGCTCCTTAAGTACGGCGTCGATCTCCGTAGGCTCGCCGAACCCTCCCTTCCCTTATACCACCTCGTCCTCTCATTCTCGTCCTCTCACCCGATTAACGCGTACTGCATTGCAGCACGCTATGACCTGGAGGATGTCGCCGTCATGATTTCTTCTGGACTTCTGATGTATGATCTCTCCGTGCTACCGGATGCACTCGCTGCCAAGATGGGTCCGACGTACTACAAACGGCTGACGGACCTCCAACGCTTGCGCGAGTCTGCACTCCGGGAACTTCTCGACAGTCCGCTGGACAGCCACCCGCCGAGCCCGGTCTGCGACGACGATGGTCAGCGCCAACTGGAGACGATATGGAAGGCCGCTATCGTGAAGGCGGTGTGGCACGGGTCATTCGGTTAGCTCATCTCTCATACCTGGCTCTTCTCGGCAACATAAAACGTTAACCACCGATTATCAGATATTATTGCGCAGAGCGTCCTTGGGACATACGAAGAAGAGAGAACCAAGGCTCTGTGTGTAGGTTGTAAGTCGGCGCTTGAGGAGCGTATGGAGGATGCCGCACGCAAGTGGGCTTCTGTGAAGGTGAGTATGTTCACTCGTACATCCGTCCTTCTGACTGTTCTGACAGTGCGCATATAGCATGTCACTGAGCACGCTTAATGGCTTACAGTGTGTTGCTAATGCTGCCTGTGGGCGTCAGTGATTGGTAATTAAGTTATAGGCATGCGCACTTCCTGTACAGCATAGATTCCCTATAGACACGGAAGGGATACCAGCGTTTCCGACGGGCCAAGAGGCGTGCCATAAATACGCCGTACGACGTTACCTTTCGGCCACCCTTTTGGCATCTTCGAGACAAAGAGATGCCTTTCGGATGGTTACTCCGTGAAACGGGGCAAAAGGTGCCCACCGACGGCGTATATCGCTCGACTTCTTTCCCATCTGAGGTGCCAGCATTTCTGACGTGAGAAGCGACTCTTCGTTTGGTGCGTCTGTCTCCGGTTCCTGCTCAAAGCCACGTGAGTTCCGTTTATTCCCACTCACCGCCTCAAGAAAGCGATCTTATATCTACTATATACCCCGTCCCCAGGTTCTGCCTTGCTTCGGTTCCTCCCCCCCACCGACTCAGCGACGATGGGACTTGCATGCGATGTCTACACCAAGCTGATGTTTCATCGAGGCCATGGATATCCTCTCTGGGAACCTGAACCTACGAAATCAGGCGAGGTCCTTATCGGGGACGTTGGCTACGTCCTGGAAGGCAGTTTCTACCGCCTCTTCAACGCCACGCTCCCAGCCGACCATGCAATCCACGAGCGCTATGGTGTCCCCGACGCTTACGAACCGTTCACCTACCCGGACTCACTACTTCACCGTCGCGCAAGCGCCCTCCAACCAGGGCCAATCTGCAGCAAAAGTGTGCTCGCGCTGAACGTCGAGGCATCCGCGTAAGCCCGTCCTTCACCTTATAGTACCCATGTATGCGCTCATCCCCCAACTTGACACTGAAAGTGGCATAAGCGGAGGCGGCCCAGGCATAATCGGGCAGCTTCGCTTCAAATGCGCAGACGAGCAAGGCGCGGTGCTCGTCTTGAAGGACGACGCCGCGCGTGAAGCGCTCCATCCTTCCAAGGACCTCACCCTCTACATCGTCCGCAACCACGAGTCGTGGCACCGGTTCGCCCTGGACGTCTTCAGGCTCG